GCAATTAAATAACTGGGGTGATTCTCACTGCAGAGAAGTAACGTCAAGGGGCAGGATCCATGTCACATTCTCAAGCCAGCTGCAGCGCTGGCCTTCCACTTGTCTGTTCCCAGTGGGGTTTTCTGTTCCTTATCTTTTATGGGTTATACTTTATAGAGTCTCAGTAAACATTTATTGCCATGTAAGATCTTATATCCCTTCATCTCAAGACTGTGCAGTCTTACCCACTTTATCTCTGATCCTGGGGGAGTCACAGAGCTCTGAGGGGTATCCCCAGTGCTGGGCCCCTGGAAGAAGTTTGCTACAGACAGAGGGTCCTAAGTGCACCCCCCTGTTCTAGGAGCAGAAGGAACACTGATGAGACCCAAGGACAAACACCGGCATCAAGGACAGAGCTGAGGCTCAGGCTCCTTCCTCCTGCTTCTGACGGGTTCCCCACCACCTCCAGACCATCTGTGAAAGGGCAAACGCTTCATCTGAGAACTGTGACTGTTCGTTATGGGCTGCCAGGTTCCTGGATCATGGGGCTGGGGCTGCAAAATACTTCTGCCAACACTAATTCTTGTGAATTTGACTTATAATATCAAATCACCATGCATCGTGGTCTTATCTATCCTTTGTTTCCTCTCCCCACTGACATAAAAAAGGCCATCACTGCAGAGGGTAGAAAGTTATTTGTTCCTTGATAGTTAACTTATTTACTCTTTAATCACTGACCAGCAGTCCTCAACAGCTTTGTCTGTGAGATTAAAATGTGCTCTTAAACCTCAATAACCAAGTGGTCATGTATTTAGGGGCAATAAAGAAAATACTCAATAGGAAACCCAACTGAAATATTCCCCCCTGGAAGGAATCCACGTTGAATGCAATGGAGGTTTAGAGCTCTCCTGGGCTTCTGAGGTATTGAACAGTCAATGGATGCCTTTTGATTGAGTCAGTCATACTTGATTCGTTACTTTAGGTAAAAGAGAATGTCAACTTTCTAAAAGTTCATAAAAGACAGAAAACTAGGAAACTAATGCCCAACACCAACAGCATTTTCCAACACCCTCCCCCGTTTTTAACTTCAAATGGAAGTGGGGGATCACAGACATCCAGGCAGGAGACCGTGGATGTCAAACCCTGCCACTGTCTTTGGCTCTTTGGGCCTCAGTATACCCTGTATGGAGAATGGGGAGAAGGACATTGCAGTTTCTGATGAGAAGGCTTTAGGTCTTTCCTTTTACTCCAGGAAGACAGGTGAGCAGGTCTGGGGATTTGAGGACCCAGGCAGGCTGGTGTAGCAATTCAAGGACACTGGAGGGACAGCAGGCTAGCCCCGGGGAAGCCTTCAAGGGCTCTGCCCAGCAGTATCTGGAAGTCACTCCTCTTCTGAAAATTCAGGAGTCACTCCAAAGGGCCCTTCCAAATCCTGATCCTGCCTCTTACACAAGCTATTTAACAGTATTTGTGAACAGCAACCTTCTCTAACACAAAAAGCTAACTTTCCAGCCCAGACCACAGGGGGCTTTGACCAGGGAGCGTTTCCAAAGACATTCCCTGGGCAACTGACAGCATTTCAAGCTGCATCTGACAGGTTACCACTGCTCCTTGTAGCTCGGGGGTTCTGGGGCACTAGCATCCTAAGCTCCTTCTGAGAGTGAGAGACAGAGGTGAAGGGGCAGGTTTTTGCTGGGGTTTGATGTGCAACATGCCACTCGCCCAAACAGCCCTCATCACTCACTGGCATTTCATGGCTGGGCCCCAATCGCAGGCTCAAGGATCAGACAGTTTACTCTGGAGCTGGAGGAGATAATTTGAGCAGCACAAACTGGATCTTCACAGAGAGAGAATCACTGCAAGGAGCCTCTGACTCTCCGCCAAAGCCCCAGGCTGGGTGTTTAGCTAAGCAACTGGGCCCACAGTGGGGATGGCTTATTTTTCTTAATCGCTAAGCTCTCCCCAACCCGTTCACTCAGATCCCTGGTGGGTTACACAGACCAGAATCTCTCCATTCCTTCTCAGCTAGTGTCCCTGGTGGCCCAGTCTTGTCCATGATCTTATTGAGCACCCACTGTGTGCTGTGTCTTGTGCCTGGTGAAGGACCCACTACACGCTGTGTTCTTTGCCTGATTAAGGCGGTAACTGATGTGTCTCCCTCTAGGATCTCATGTTCTCAAGGCAGACATGGACAAGAAGGCATTTATAATAACTAGTGTCCCACAAGCCTGGCATTACCCAACTATCTGCTCACCTTCCAGCTTTGGCTACATGTCTCCTCTTAGACTGTTCCCCTCATCTCACATGCCTCCCCCTCACCATCAGAGTCACAGGGGCATNTCAACATCCTCCCTGTTCCCCTCATCTCACATGCCTCCCCCTCACCATCAGAGTCACAGGGGCATCCTCTCAGTTCTTCAAGCACATCAGCCTGCCTGAGAGCCTTGGCTCATGCTATTTTCTCCATCTGGAACACTCTGCCCCCTCCCCAGCTTTAGGGACACCCCCTCAGAAAGGCCTTCCCTCTCCATCCCCTATAAAGCAGACCTCTCTTGCTCCCACTCTCAGCACCATGCTCATTTCTTTTTCAACGCTTACCAAATTTGAAATTACACACTTGTTTGGTGACTTATCTGTGTCTCCGCTATCAGATGACAACCTCCAATGATGTCTATCTTGTCCCACTGCCCCTCACCAGGTTCTACACATTGCCCAGAACAAATATACATGTTCACCACAAAGCTGCTGAACAAATGAACGGAGGATTCTTTTGTGATAAGTGATTATGGCATAGAAAGGTGACAAGCTCGAGGGCTTTGTCAGTAATGACAAAGGGTCTGAGCTTAGTTCTAGCAGCAAGAAGAAAGCCATACAAGCATTGTAAGTGGGGGAGACACAAGACAGACGTTTATTACAGAATTATATCCCCCTTCTATCATGTGGACATAGACTTCAGGGGCAGGGGAAAGGGCAGACTGGAGACAGAGAGATCTATTAGGAGGCGCCTGTGAAAACTGAAGTCCTCACAACTCAGTGTAGTTCCTGGATCAGCAGCATGGACATCGCCTGGAGTTTGTTAGAAATGCAGACTCTCAGGCCCCATGCCAGACCTGCTACATCAAAATCTGTCCTTCAGCAGCATCTCTAGGAGACAGTGCACACACCTGGAGCTGGGCTGTAGGCGAAAGACAATGGTGGCTGAGCTGCCTTTGGGAGTGGGGGACAGAACTGACTCATCAATGCCCCCAATGAAATCCACTGTTCCTGAAGGGGTCAGGGGGTCAGAAGCAAGCCCCATGGTTACAAACTTTCTCGAATTGTGATTCCATCAGGGGTCAGGGAGAGTAGGAGAAAGAGGAAGGGTTGGTGGTGAATAGAGTGGGGCCGGGGCTAGGTAGCCAAGATGTCACTCCAAGACCCCCTAGCACCTGGCACAGAGCCTGGCATATAAGAAGGGCTCAATGATACTTGTAGAAAGAACAACGACACTGGTCCAGCAGAAATTAGGCGATTGGGGTCCTAAAGCAGGGTCTGGGGGAAAGCAGACATACCTTTGATGGCTCCGTTTTGTTAAATATGTTTCCTTTGGTTAGAAAAATGTGGAAATCTGAGAGAATAAAACTACACTCGAGGAATGAAAATAAGACCTGTGCAACACAAAATTGGCAGAAAAGCATGGCCCAGCTTCGAAATAACATGGCGAGGGGCAGTGGGGACAAGCCGCCGAGGGCAGCAGGCATGGGGTGTACCCAGGGTCGGGATGGGGATGGGGTCACAGAGAACAGAAGTGGTCAACTGTGCATGCGGTGGGTCAGGACAGAAGGGAACTCAACAGAATGGCCTGCTGAGCACAAGGACCATGTGGCAGTGTGGCCAGAAGTGACCAGGGTGTCTCTTATAGCAACTCTCTTAGGCCCTAGACTCCATCCTGCAAGAGGAGCCCGCACAGGAAAGCAGGAGGAGAGATCACAGTGATGCTGGGGCCGGAGGGGCTGGGAGGGTCCGAGCCCCGCTCCCCACCCCGACCTTTCCTACAGAAAACCCGAGACGCCCACACCCTGCTTCTTCCTGCCGAGCAGTGTTGGGCACTAGGGGGGGCTGATTTTTATTCCTTGAATATGGGAACAAATAAACTCTTGTCCATTCTATGGTTTCCTTTTCTCAAGCTCATTACCCCAGTGAGAGGAGCCATTCCCACTGGAACGGACAACCTTATCCCAAGAAGAGTGCGAGGCTCCGGGAGCAGGGCATCGCCTCCTGCCTCCCACCTCCCACGTCCCACGTCCCACGTCCCATCTCCCTCCTCTCTCCCCCTGATGACCCGCCACCCTGCCCAGAAGGCCTACTGCAGGGCCCAGATGGAGGGCCCTCCTGTGAGACTCTTCCCTGTCCTTCCCCAGGAGTAAACAGACCCACACGATCCCTAGTCCCCTTTTCTATGAAATCATTTTCTTTTCATGGGTTTGCGTTAGAATGACCTGTCACCATACTTGCCCTCCCCATTCGACTGCAGGCCCTTGAGGCCCCCTGAGAAAGGAACGATGGCCCCCAGAGCCACGGGGCCTGGTGCTGGGCTGGATGCGATCTAGATGCACAAGAGACGCAGCTGCAGCTGAAGCGTGTGCTGACATCCCACTCCTGTCACCATCACAGTGCCATCGTCCAGGCAGCATCCCGGGCCTCCCGCACGTCTTTGCTCCCATAGGCCCAGCTATATGATTTGCATCTTTGGAACAGCTTGCTATCTCACCTCCTCCAGGAAGCTCCCCTAAATTAACTTTAGGATCACATGCCACTCTCAGAATCCCGCTCCCCTTAGCCCTTGACATCCCACGACACAGGAGGTAACATTTCTATCTCACTTGTCCCTGTGGCCACAGAGTTTGTTCATGTGGCAGCTTCTCAAGGACAGGGCCCCAAATCACATGGAGATTCACAGCTGTGCCAGTCTAGGCACAGAGGCTTGTCAGAACCAGCAGACAGGCATATATGTGATGACAAAAGAGACAAAGGTGACTGACCTTGGATGTGTAGGTGTGGCCATCAGAGCCGCAGACCATGGGCGACTGTGCCATGGGGCAGGGCTTGCACTTGACCAGATTTGAAGGTCCAGCCCAGTGTTTGTGGCCCACGTTCCCCTTCTTTTGCCTGAGGATGAAAAAAGAGGAGATAAATTAACTAGAGCTCCCGTCTCCATGGGTCTCTCCTGCAGGTACCTGGATAAAGGCCAAATAAGTCAAAGGGCTGGTCAACACGCAGCACTCCCACTGGTTCCAGCTCACTGCTGGGGCAGGAGTCTTTCCAGCCTCAGTTCAACCACAAGGGAAAGCCCTGTGGCCACTAAAAANACAGCCTCGGTTCAACCACAAGGGAAAGCCCTGTGGCCATTAAAAATGTTACAAAACATCACTTACAGGCGTGAAAAGACATTCACAACANGCCTCAGTTCAACCACAAGGGAAAGCCCTGTGGCCACTAAAAATGTTACAAAACATCACTTACAGGCGTGAAAAGACATTCACAACACATCGAAAAGAACAAGGAAGGCGTGTGGCTCCACCCGCTCATGCAACCCTGGGTGTGCTCACGCAGTGTGCGNACATCCAAAAGAACAAGGAAGGCGTGTGGCTCCACCCGCTCATGCAACCCTGGGTGTGCTCACGCAGTGTGCGGCACATCACAGGCGCGACACACGGCACCCAGAGCCTCACACTCCTCTGGCGCTGCCCAGCAGCCTTCGAGTGACACCAGATGACTCTGCGAGCATCTCCCATAGGGACACATCTCCAAACACAACCCGACTTTATCAAGCTGTGGAAAGCAATCTCTGGATACATTTTTAAACAATTTCGGTCCAGCTTCCAATCTGCCATTTGATAGAGGCTCTGAGGTGATGTCACTTTCAACTGCTAAAATAACCAGAATTCTCTTCTTTCATGCCAGCTCCATTTCCCCCACCCTCATCTTTGTCATAATGATAAATGGTGCTATCAGGATGGCTTATGTCCATGGAAGGAACCCCATCCCTTATCACACTGGAAGACAGGCCACCCTTTCTCTCTTACTGACGCTGCTCTCCCAGCAAACCACTGGGAGTGATTGTGGCCATGGGGCTATCTTCTGGGTAGGGGACACATGTCTGTGGACTGCCAGGCAATGGCTGTGCCCTTGAAGTGTTCAGCACTGGCCGTCTTGCGTGGTCATTAACACTTGGGCTCTGGGATCAGAAAACACAAGTTCAAACCTCAGCTCTGCCAGTGTGATCTTGGCAGGATTGTTAACCCTGTAAACCTCAGTTTCCTCATCTGTACAATGGGAGCAATAGAATCTACTTCAAGTGGATGGCATGAGGACTAAATGAGCTGAGGTGTGTCAAGCACTCAGTGTAATGACTGGAAAATAGGAAGAAAAATGGTAGCTGTTGTTATAATTATGACTTGCTTCAAGAGATGTGGGTACAGAGGGTGAAATTACCACTGCCATAGAAATGAGACTTAATTCTGAGTCTCTATGTTTGGAATGGCATTTGATTCCCCTGAAGAATTCATGGGACCACAGGGAGGAAATCTTTTCCACAAGATATGGGATGAATATAAGCTCCTCAGGAGTTAGGGTTTGGCATCTCAGGTAACCCACCCTCTTCCAAATGAAGAAAAGTGACCGAGGAAGAGCACACACCTACTTGGTTTGTATCCTGCCTCAAACCCACCCTGGTGATTTGGGGTGGGGGGCAGAAAGAGGAAGGAGGTCTGTTAGGGGAACTACTTTTGAACTTGACATCCAGGCAAATGACCATGTACCCACAGCACAATTCTTGGGACCACTGGGGATCCCAGGCTGGGTGGGCCACAGTGCTGAGCCTGCCTGACCACTGAACTGGAAAAGGAAGTCCCACGAGTGTCCTCTGAGACCACCTAGTCCAGCTCACTCATTTCACTAATGGGGGAAACTGAAGCCCAAACTGGGGAAGAGCCTTGCTCGGTAGCTAGGCCTCTGGTGACAGTCACACAACTTCTGAGCGTCCAGGGGTAAATCTCTCTTCTTCAGCCCATCTCAGTCCTGCCTAGATTACTAGCTTAAAGACTCTCTGGGGTCACCTACATGTCTGCATTGAGCGTCCCCTCTCCAGTGCCTTCCTGCTTCCACAGCAGCCACCCACCTTGCCTTGCCTCTCTGTCTGAAATAAATGCATCTGTTATTTGCATTTTAAATCACATGGATATGAGGTTTCCTATTATCCCTTGCCAAACACAATTTAGACTTTCAAGGTTTGTTCTGGAGCACTGAAGAAAGCACGGTGGGTGATGGACTCCGTGCAGCGGACAAGCAGGCTGCCAGCAGGGGTTTAATCTTAGAGTCCATGTTCCCTCAGCAGAACACCACACATTTGTCATCATTCGCACAGCAGATTGTCTGACATGGATAATCAATCAGCAAATACAGGCAGAAGTTGTGGCGTCTAGCAGCCCCTCTCCTGGGTCAGTTCCTAGCTGTGCTTCCACGGCTGAAACAATTCTTGTTATGAGTTCCCAGGAAGGGACTATAAAGTCCAAAGAGTGGGCGGTTCTGCTGGAGCAGACATAACTGTGCGCAATGATGCCCTGGAGGAAAGATGCCTGAAGGAGCTTAGCCAAAGGCAGAGAAGGGAGAAGTGAACACTGAGCCAAGAGCTTGGAGGAAAAGATGGAACCAGCTATTAATCACCAGTGAGTGATATGTCATCCCTGCCTCTGGACCTGAACTTCACCATTAGTTTACTGGCCAGTGCTTACTAGTGGGCCTGGTGCATCCTGGATACTCAATGTATCCCTGCTGGGTGTGTGGGTGGGTCCCTGAGTACTGACCCTGTGTGGTTACTCAGCAGTTAATCACCAAATCACAGCTTGTCAAGACCAGAAAATATCTTAAACTAATCAAGCACAACAACTATATTTTATAAATGAGGAATCAGAAACACAGCTGGGGAGTGACCTGCCCAGCGCCACACAGAAATATGACAAAGTTACTTTCTTAGATATTTGTCAGATTGATGTTATCCTGGGAATGACTGTGCTCCTCTGGGACTATTTCTTTTTTTTTTTTAAGATTTTTTTGATAAAAAGTAAGGGGGGGGAGAGGGGGAGAGAGAGAGAGAGAGGGGTGGACAGATGTGAGTGCGGCACATCAACTGGGCGCTTCCTGCACACCCCCCACCAGGGATCCGGCCCGCAACCTGGGAATGTGCCCTGAACGGGAATCGAACTGGAAACCTTTCAGTGCATAGGACGACATCCAACCAACTGAGCCACACCGGCCAGGGCCCTTGGGGACTATTTTAATTCCTTATTTTGGCATCTGCACTTTCATCGTCAGGGTGCCATTTTGTAAGTAAAGCTCCTCTGAAACACTGCCCAGGCTCTACACCAGCAGACCAGCAAGCTCCCATACCCAAGGTCAAGTGGTCATGGATTATGCCTGGGAAGAATCACGCTCGACCCCTCCGAGGATGCCTTGAGGATGACAAGGGCAAAGGCCAATTTGAATTTGCACAATTTTAATAAAATAAGCAGACCTGCTGTATTGGGCAAACCCAGGGGTTCCTTACCTTACCAGAACCCTAGAAGAGATGGCACCTGAACCTGTGGTCTCTGTCCAGAGGCCAAGTTATATAAGTTATGTACAAGTACATGTGAGCCCAGGGAGTAAACTTCCCTGGTTATTATGTGTATATTCCAATCTCCACAATTCAGTGCAAACCATAAAAAATAACCCACCCAGTTGCGGCAAGGGACTCAGCTTTCTGATTCTAAGATATTTCACTTCTTGAGTCAATGAAGAGTGAAATCCGATAAAGATATCTTGATGGGATTGCTATTCCCAATGTTGCAGACATTCACCAAGGGGGGTGACACAAGCAATTTAGTCTGGGAGCAGCTTCCGCCATCCTTTCCATTGGCCACGAAGCCCTAACTCCACCCCAGCCTGGCTGCTGCCAGGAACAGTCATACCTCCTGCCCTACTGAAAATCCCAACCTACGAGCTCCCCAAGATGGAGAGAAGACAACCAGCAGATCACCGGCATTTCTTATCTTTGGCTCAGCTGCTTATTCCCAATCTTTTTTTTTAAGTCTACTGAAATAAACAGCATTTATGGGTTTGGAGCAGAGTGGTGATCTAAGTACAATCTGATGACGTGACTCCCACACTCAAAACCTCCATCCTCTTGCCGCCTATAGGGCACAGTCCAAACTCCTAATCCTGGTGTTAAACTGACTGTGTCTACCTTCTAGGGTCACTTCTGCTCTGCCCTCTTCTCCAACACACAAACACATGCACATGCACACCCACACACACATATCCTTGCATGCACACACGCAGGCCTGCTCACACACACCCACATGCGCACCCCCCATACACACCCACGCACTCAAACAGGCACCCACCCAGTGGCCACCACCATCACATACTTGCTCCAGCCACCCTTGACTGTTTTGCAGACCCCACGAAGGACACTGTCTCTCTCCGTGCCATCACGTGGGTTTTTCCAGTATCTGACATATTTTCACCCCCACCCATATTTCTCCCCTCTGTCTTCCACTCCTCTCTGCCTCATGAATCTTTATTCAAGGCCCAGCTCAAAAACCCCCTGCCCGGGGAAGTCTCCCGGGGCCCCTCCACAGGTGGTCAGACTGTGCTTCTGGACCACCGTGGCCCTGGGATCGCGGCTGGTCAGGCTCCCTGGCTCGTCTCCAAGCAAGCAATTTGGTTCGACGTGACCAAATATTAGAGGCTGTTATTATCCCAATAGGACAAGGGGCACGCCAGGCTTAAAGCCTTGAGCCCACCCTGGACACTCTTTTCCTGTCCTCACCACTTCCCCCGTCACTCAGTCCTGCTGATTCTACCTCCCACCAGCCATACCCGTCACTTATATTTCTCTTATGTGAGCCGTGCAAATTCAAGTCTATATAACTAGGCAAATGCTTTCTATCTGCACTGCAAAGGCCTGTCCCTTGTTGAAGTTTCAAACCCGCTGCCTTCCACGAAGCCTCTCCTGATCCGGTGAGTCCTATCACAAGGACAATTAACCATGACATTATTTGTTTAACAGTGCACCTTGCTCAGACCCAGCTGTGACATTCACTACAGCACAGAGCAGTTCTTTTCAT